GACACAGCTTGGCCTCCGAGGGCTGCTGGTGGTGAGAGAGGTGATGTTAGAGACCTGAGAAGGGGCCGGGGATGAGCAGGCACCTCCTAGCAGTCTGGACTGTGAGGCCAATGCACTCACGCTCCCTTCTGAGCGACAACCAGAAGCTGGCTTGGCTTCCTTTTATCCCTAAAGGTGAGTCTACCCGCTAATTCTCCCGCCGTTAGAAGTCCCTGCTGACCCTCATTTGTGCCCTGGTCCCACCCTCTCCCTTCTCAAGGCCTCACCTGGACTGTTCCCAGTGATGATCAGCACCATCAGCCATGCCTCCCAGCCTGCAAACACCTTCAACCCAGGCCCCACCTGCACTCCACCGGGCCCCAGCTCTGCCCCGTTTCCCTCCGACCCTTTACCGCAAACCCTTAACAAAGCTGTGCGTCTATGCTGACATCACACCCCAAAGCCCGCTCCAGGGGCTGCTGTCCCCTCCTAGCCATAGAGACAGCTCCTACCAATGTAACCAAGACCCAAAGGCTCCCAGGGCCGGCGGCCGGTCCTCGGTCCATGCTGGGCCACGCCTTTGTCCCCAAAACAGTTAGTCCTCTTGGCTCCTGGGCTCTGTGCCTGGTCTCCCTCCTGTCCCACAGGCTCCTCCTTCCCAGTCTCCTGGCTGGCTTTTCCTCCTCCCCCTCCCAGGCCTCCTCCTGTGGACCGGCTGCTCTCTCCTCAGACACTGGCTTTACCCGTCTGCAACACTCTAGGCCAGCGATTTTCACCTTGAGTGCCGCAAAACTTTAAAGCATGCAATACCTGACTATTGGGTCAGGGCCGCTGACCTCTCTTCCCTTAGATCACACATGTCAAACACAAGGCCCGTGGGCCAAATCCGGCCCACCAGGCCTTGCAATGTGGCCCGCACCGCGCTGTCATCACTGCACTCCGCTGCGTTCCATCACAATGACGCGCGGTGACATAGGAGGTTTGTGATCTCGCCGGCCGCCTCGCTGGCCGCCGTACTTGCTATCTATTACGCATGCACATAGATAACAAGTCACGCGAGATTCAGGAGGCGTGACCTATAGTCCGGCATCCGATGTGGTTGTGTGGGTGGCAGAGCAGAGGAGAGAGTGAGTGTGCGGGCATAAAAAATACACAGCAGAAGCTGCCAGTTCCTGGCATAAAGTGCAGGCATAAAAATCGCAATAGAATCTGCTATCTGTACCCAGCCAGGCATTTATTGACTGACTTTTTTTTTCTCCACTCCATCTGCCAAATCAAGCTATCCCTGTGCAGTTTTCAACTTTTTCCTTCTAACGCAGATTTCCAATAAACTACATCTTTTACTGCCAATATTGATCCCAAAATGTCCAGGAAAAGAAAAGTTGACGGTGAAGGCAGACAATTTAATGACAAATGGGAAAATGAATACATGTTTGTGCTTAGAGAGGGCAAACCAGTGTGTATATTGTGTATGAGACAGTGTCGGTGATGAAAGAGTACAATATACGTCGTCATTTTGACACCAAACATAATGTTAAGTATGGCAAATATACTTTGGAAGAAAAGCATAAAATTGTTAAAGAACTAAAAGGCAAACTACAATCACAGCAGCAAATGTTTACAAAGGCTACAACGAAAAATGATGCTGCAGTGAGAGCAAGCTTTATAGTGGCTGAAGAAATTGCCCGTACTTCAAGGTGTTTTTCAGAGGGTGCCTTTTTGAAGCAATGCATGCTAAAAGTGTGTGAGCAAGTATGCCCAGACCAGATACAGAGTTTTCAAAATGTCAGTTTGTCAAGAAACACCATTGCAGATAGAGTTCAAGAACTCTCAGGAAATCTATCATCACAGCTGGCCGAACAGGCATGCAGTTATCTCGCTTTTTCACTTGCTATCGATGAAAGCACAGACAACACTGATACAGCGCAGCTGTCCATCTTTATACGTGCTACGAAGACCGACCTCTCTGTCACTGAGGAACTTTTGGATGTAGCTGCCATGCATGGGATGACAACTGGTAGAGATATATTTGAGGCTGTGGAGAAATCTATAAATAATTTTAAATTACCCTGGGAAAAGTTGGTGGGGCTAACTACCGATGGCGCACCTTCAATGTGCGGAGAAAAGAAAGGCTTGGTTGGACTAATGAAGGAAAGAATGCAAAAAAGTCACTGCCACACACCCTTGATTACTTATCATTGCATTATCCACCAAGAGGCTATGTGTGGAAAAGTTCTGGACATGAATGACATAATGACCACAGTCATTAAAACTATTAACTTTATACGGGCACGTGGCCTGAATCATCGCCAGTTCCAGCAGTTTTTACAGGAGGTGGGTGCAGAGCATGGAGACGTGCCATACCACACAGAAGTAAGATGGCTGAGCAAGAGCGCAGTCCTCAAAAGATTTTTTGAGCTCAGAGAACAAATTGCTCTTTTCATGGAAAGTAAAGGAAAGCCCTTGCCTGAACTGTCGGATCCCGCCTGGCTATGTGATTTTGCTATGATGTGTGACATATGCGAGCATCTCGCCCAACTGAATCTGAAGCTGCAGGGACGCAAACAAGTCATCACGAAGATGTCTGACATGATCACAGCATTCCAGCGTAAACTTCAACTATGGAAGTCCCAACTGGAACAGGACAATCTTGCCCACTTTCCCGTTTGTTTGAGTATCTCAACCACTATTTCTGGTACTTTTCCTTGCAGTCGGCTGGCTACCAAAGTTAGCCGTTTACTAAGTGAATTTGAGCGGCTCTTCTCTGACTTTAGAACACAGCACTCAGGCTTTGACATCTTTACCAATCCTTTTACAGTTGATGTCAACAATGTGCCCCATCACCTTCAGATGGAGATAATCGAGCTTCAGTCTGACAGTGGCCTGAAATCAAGGTTTCAGGATGTTGAAATTGAGGACTTCTACCCTCTACTGCCCCCTGACTCAATGCCAGAGCTCCGACTTCATGCTGCCCGTATTCTATCCATGTTCGGGAGCACCTATCTTTGTGAACAGATGTTTTCAATAATGAATCTGAACAAAAACAAGCACAGATCACGCATTACCGATGACAACCTCCATGCTGTTTTGCGGGTTGCTACAGCCCAAGAAATAAAACCGAACATTGACTCATTGATCCGGGGAAAACGGTGTCAGACATCTAGCCAGAAAACAAAACAATGTGCATTTTAGGTACATTCCAATATTACTGTTTTGCTTGATACCAATATTACTGTTTTGCTTGATAGCATGTGAGTTGGTTAACAGCACTGTTAAGGAAAAGATTGTTCCACTCATTTTAAATTCACATTTCTGGTTAACATTGTCAGTTTATGACTGTTCAGTAAACCATTCGGCCCGCGATTTAGGCTGGATTTTAGATTTTGGCCCCTTCTCTGATTGAGTTCGACACCCCTGCCTTAGATGGTCAAGTTAGAAAACAGCCCAGCCCTTGTGGCTCACTGTTTGAGCGTTGATCCGTGGACCAGGCGGTCACAGTCCGCTTCCCAGTCAGGGCACGTGCCTGGGTTTCAGGCTCAGTCTCCAAAGGGGGGCGTGCAGGAGGCAGCCGATCGATGATTCTCTCAGCATTGATGTCTCTATCTCTCCCTCCCTCTCCCGTCCTCTCTCTGAAGTCAATAAAAACATATATTTTTTAAAATAAAAACAGCCAACACTACATAGCTGTCCAATGTGAATAAATCAAAGTTATACCTATTTTGAGAGAAATATATATTTTTCGGTGTGCGGCAGAACTGTAGTAACTGTTTATGTGAACCATGGGGTGGAAAGGTTGGAAATCGCTGCTCTCGGCCATCTCATCCAACTCCGGGACTTCCAAGGTGCCTCCTGGCCCCGCCGCCCTCCCCGTCTGAGAGTCTGGTTGACATCTCTACCCGGTATCTGCTGGGCGCGCTTCACATGGACACAGCCGAGTTCCTCATTCCCTCCAGACCCACCCGACATCCTCCCCACCTCCGGGAATGTCCCCACCAGCCAGCCACTTTGGTAACATAAACACACATGCAGAGGCGTGTGTGTGTGTGTGTGTGTGTGTGTGTGTGTGTCTGTGTGTGTGTGTATACCCTGGCAGAGGCACCGTTGTTCTTTGTGAGGCCAGGATCTACCTCCCACTCCTGGCTACAACCTCTTCCCAGATTTTCTCGTCCATCTCAACCCAAAGGTCAGGGCCACGTGGGCCGCCTCAGCCCAGGATGTGCCCTGATGTGCCCTGGGCTGCTCGGTGCCCCTGGGAGAGGGCTGGGTTAGGGGCGCCTGGCCCGCGGGGCTGAGGGGCAGAGAAACAGGGGCAAAGGACACCCCCCCCCGCCCCCCCGCATGACGTGTGCACAGGTGGCGCCTTTGGGCCGGTGCGGCCACGTCTGCCCTCCGAAGGAAGCAGCCTGAGGGCGGCGAGCCTCCGTGGAGGCGGGAGAGGGAGAAAGGAGAGGATGGCGCAGACAGGGGGCTGGAGCTCTGGGGCCGCCACAGTTCCTGGACGGTCCTGTGCCGGAAGCTCTGTGCGGGGTGTTCATGGTTTGAGCAAACAGAGCACCTTTTCATGTAAGTCAGCGTGAACGAGAGCTGCTGCTGAAACCAGCGGAACCCTCAGTAACGCGCTCTCCCCGGCTGCACCGGCGGCCGGAGGCCGGGGAGAGGGTGGTCTCTGCGCCTTGGGACCAGCAGAGCTCTCCCGGGCTGCTCTGGAAGCTTCTGGGGTACACTTGCGAGGACCCCAGTCGCCGTGGCAGCGGTGGTTCCAGCGTGTGCTCCATCAGCGTCTCATGATCACGCGTGTGAGGGCTGCTGAGGTTGCCGCGTCCCCCACTTAGTCCCCAGCACGGAGAAGTGTGCGGCCACGGATCACCCAGGTGCTGAAGGAATGGGTGAGTCACCCCGACGTGCCTCTGCCCCTCCCACTCTCCCACCCCCGCCCCCAAATCCACCACCGGAAAAGAAGCTGTCTGAAAGCATGCACATTTTATTCTCCTGGGGGAGAGAGACAGGAGGAGGGAGGTGACCCCGGGTTTAGGAAGGAAGGCGCGGCGGAGCGCGAGGGCTGGAGCTCTTGCGCTTCCTCCCCGGGGCGGAGCCGGAGGCTGACGGGAGACCTAGAAGGGAGAGGAGAGCCGCTGTGGGTGTGAGGGGTCCACGGGGAAATGGGTCTCAGAGCCACGTGTCTGCTCAGCACCCCACAGCCACTCCCGGAAGCCGGTCAGGAGACGGTGCGGGCTGTGGGGCCTTGAAGATAGGCGCCGCGGGATCTAATGACAGGAAGCCATGGGGACCGCGCACTGAGGGGCGGCCCTGTGTCTGCAGCACCAACGCGTCCCTGAGGCCGGAGAAGCTGCAGGGCCAGTCCTAGGCCCCCTCCAGCCCCCGTGTTCTCTGGGCACAGCCGGGAACGTGCTGAGGGAGGATCCCCCGCCCAGCTCCCAGGCCCCAGGGTCCTGGGGAAGTGTGTGGCCGCAGCTCCCATCCCCAAAGCTCTGGGCTGGGCTGAGGATTGGCACTGACTGGGGCTCTGCTGTCACTGGAATGTCTCAGTCCCAGGGCATTTCCTTGGGGTTAAGCTCTTTATCTCATTCACCCTCCTTCCAGCCTCAGAAATAGAAATTACACACACACACACACACACACACACACACACACACACACTTCAAGGTTGAGGAACTGAGAGCCCAGAGAGGTTAGGTTGCTTGCCCAGGGTCACACAGCTGAGGGAGACGGAGACCTGACTGACGCCAGGATTGCGGGGGGAACAGCCCCAAGGCCTTGGGAACTTCCCAGAGCTGGTGAGGAGAGCTCCTCCCACGTTCCCAGCGAAAGCCCACCTGCCCGGCGCCTCCACTCTTCCCGTCCGGAGTGAGGGGAGTGATGTGTCCAAACAAGGAAGCATGGGGGGGGCGGGAGGGGGGGGACACAGGAGCTGCTTATGACGTTCGAGTGTGTGTGTGTGTGAGTGTGAGAGTGTGAGTGTGTGTGCATGTGTGTATGTGTGTGTGTGTGTGTGTGAGAGTGTGAGTGTGTGTGAGTGTGTGTGTGTGTGAGTGTGTGTGTGTGTGAGTGTGAGAGTGTGAGTGTGTGTGTGCGTGTGTGTATGTGTGTGTGTGTGAGAGTGTGTGTGTGTGAGTGTGTGTGTGTGTGAGTGTGAGAGTGTGTGTGTGTGAGTGTGTGAGTGTGTGTGTGAGAGTGTGTGTGAGTGTGTGTGTGTGAGTATGTGTGTGTGTGAGTGTGAGAGTGTGTGTGTGTGAGTGTGTGAGTGTGTGTGTGAGAGTGTGTGTGAGTGTGTGTGTGTGAGTATGAGTGTGTGTGTGTGTGTGTGTATGTGAGTGTGAGTGTGTGTGTGTGTGTGAGTGTGTGTGTGTGAGTGTGAGTGTGTGTGTGTGTGTGTGTGTGTGAGAGTGTGTGTGAGAGTGTGTGTGAGAGTGCGTGTGTGTGTGTGTGTGTGTGTGTGTGTGATCAGCCCTGTCACGCCTGCTGGGGGAGGCGGTCTGGGGCCTCGGAAGGAGCCGCTGCCCCCTCCACACTCACCGGCCGGCGCCCTGCACATGCGGATGTCCACGCAGATGGCGTGGGGCTCCTTGCCGGCCAGGATGTCGGCGGAGACGCGCTGCAGGGACTTCCTCATGATGCGCTTGCACAGGCCCCTCAGGACGCCCTTCACCGAGCTGCACACGCGGGACTCGGCCTTGGCGATGGCGTCCTGCGGGGCAGTGTCTCAGTGGGACCAGGGAGCCGAGGAGCCTGCCCAGCCCTGTCCCCTCCCCCGTGCTCCCCCGCAGGCCCCAGCTCTGGGCCCTGGCAGCGCCAACAGAGGGAGTGCTGGGGGGGGGCTGGTGCCAGGCGGCCGTGGGAGACAGGGCCCGGCTCCCCTCCCAGCCCCAGGCTCTGGCCAGGGGGGGCTCTTGAGAGAAGGCTACTGGCCCTGCCGAGGTCTCAGCCCCCTGTCCCTGCCCCTGGCTTCTGAGTGGAGGATGGTGTCTGTGGCTGCCAGACCCACATTAACGGCTCTGCCCAGGGGGCCTCCTGGGTCAGAGGAGGTGTGTGGGGAGGTCAGGAGGCGATCGGAGCTTTAAAGTATCTTCTGCTGCTGTCCCCGTGGAGAAAGACGCATCTGCTTATGATGCTCAGTGGGTTGGAGGAGGGAGGGAGAGGGAGGGAGAGGGAGGGAGAGGGAGGGAGAGGGAGGGAGAGGGAGGGAGAGGGAGACTACGGCTCTTGGTTGTGACACATCCACCTGTTGGGCATCTATTCAGTGCCCGTCAGGGATGGAGCACACCTCCCACCCCCACCCCCTCTGCTCCTGTAAGGGCGTAGGCAACTTGCGCGGTGGGGATGGTTGAGGCCATGGTGGGCCATTCCACAGATAGAAAACAGAGCCCAGAATTCATGCCTCCGCAGACCACGCAGCTGGTTGCAGATCTGGAAGTTACCAGGACTGACCTGGCCTGGAACCCGCCTCACAAAGCTCTGCCCTGAGAACTGCCCGAAACCAGGCCCGCCCCTTCTGCCCCGTCCACACCCCCAGGTGCCACGTCCACACCCCAGGGTGCCATGTCCACACCCCAGGTGCCACGTCCACACCCCAGGGTGCCACGTCCACACCCCAGGGTGCCTCGTCCACACCCCCCCGGGGTGCCACGTCCACACCCCCAGGTGCCACGTCCACACCCCCAGGTGCCTCGTCCACACCCCCCCAGGGTGCCTCGTCCACACTCCCGGAGTGTCGTGATTCCGCGGGTTTCTCTGAGGTCCACCCACGGGCACTCAAGGGGCCCAGGACCCCCTGCTGGGACCCAGGGGAGACCGGCCCAGGCCCCAGGCCCTGAGCCGCAGGCCGAGGCCCCACAAGCCTCACCTCGTCAGGCTGCTCCCCCACCATGTCCACCAGCCGCTGAATTATCGCCTGGCACAGCCGGCAGCTGAGGCCCTTCCGCTCCCGTGTGGTCAGCAGGTCAGCCTGTCAGGAAAGGAGGCGTCTCCCACACTCTCCCAGGCCAGCAGGTTCATCTGTGACTTTTCTGACTTAAGGGCCTGAACCAGGCTGGCCGGCCCCTGCCCACCCCGGTGAGAGACCCCAGACCAGCACCTCTGCCAGCCGGCATGTACCCCCCTTCTGGCCTCCTGTCAGACCCCAGAGGGCCCTCTTGGGGAGGGTCCAGCAGACCAATGTAGCAGCCCCTGCCCCCCAGGCCTGGGTGTGAACCAAAGCAGCTCACACCTCCCCCCCTCCCTGCTCCTTAGAGACCCAGCCCTGCCCCTGGCCCTGTCCATGGAGCAGAGAAAGGCGTGTCTGTGAAGGTCAGCAGGAACCCGGTACCTGGGGGGCCCCCTGGGCCAGGACCAGCAAGAGCTCATCTCCGTCACTCAGGGGGCCCATGGCCGGGTCGGAGTGCTCGGAGGTCACACCAGAAAAGGGGAGGCCTGGGGGAGAAACGGCAGCGTCGGCTGGAGCCCCAGCCGGCTCCCTCCCTCCCACGGGCTGTCTCTCCATCGTCGGCCAGGTCTCTGTCGGGCTGGGCTGGGCCAGGTTCTGAGGGAAAGGCCCCCGTGATGATGGCAAGAAAGCTGGGGAGGGGCGGGGAGCCGTGGGGATCCACACCGGAGAGCTGTCCTCACCTGGGGAGCCCAGGAGCGCCGAGGCCAGGAGCAGGAGGACCCAGGAGGCCATGGTGGGCAGCGGCCCAGGCAGCCCCACGCCCCGTTTTATAGAGGCTGGGAGCCCGGCCGCTGGCCTCGCCGGGGCTTCTCCTCTGATAGGTCCCCTCCCCGCGTCACAGGGTTTACCACAAGCACCGGTCTGGAGAGAAAGTGGGGGAGGAGCGGTACCTCAGGGTACCTTCTGTCCCCAACACACACAGACTAGAACATTCTGAGACTAGACCCCAGCTTCTCCCTCCTTTGTGGTCTCTCACCTCCGGCTGCCGAGATGGGAGAGGCACCCGCCAGGACCCTCCCTGAAGCACGTCCCCCCCAGGCCCCTCGGTGTCACCGCTAAGGACCCCACCCAGCCACTGCCCGGAGGCCCGCCAGGCTGAGTCCTCCCCGGACGCACCCTCCTGGTCCAGAACACCGGGGCCTCTCCTGAGCCCCTGCAGGGCCTCTGCTCGGCTTCTGTGGGCGGACAGGGACGGGGTCCCTTTGCTGCCACAGCGGACAAAGTTGGGATTCTGCCGGGAAGAATATGAAGGAGTCGGAATCGGGTTGGCAATAGCAGTATTGGCTACAGGAAGATTTCTTTTGCTTTCTTTTTTTTAACATATATATATAAACATATATATATATATATATATATATATATATATATATATATATGTTTATTTAGTTTTTACAGAGAGGAAGAAAGAGGGATAGAAAGCTAGAAACATTGATCAGCTGCCTCTTGCACACACTCTACTGGGGATGTGCCCGCAACCAAGGTACATGCCCCTGACCGGAATCGAACCAGGGACCTTTCAGTCTGCAGGTCGATGCTCTATCCACTCAGCAAAACTGGTTTCAGCTACAGGAGGATTTCTTGCTAAAAGGCATTTTAAAGGAAGTGTTGATAGGACTTTGTAGCTAACGGGATACAGGGCATAGAGGAGAGAAGCAAACGTTTGGCGATATTGGGGGCCTGGGAGGCTGAGGGACCGGTGGTGAGGCAGGAAGTTTAGGAGAGGGAGCTTGTCTGGCCAAAGCGGAGCCTGAGGTGCTGCTTTGGGCTCCCCCTCTACCTGGTCTGTTTGAGGGCAAGGCTGGCCCCACCGCAGGGTCCCCACCCCAGGCCTAAAACAGCCCTCAGACCGAATGGTCAACCGATGTCAAACTCGATTCACCTCGCCCAAGGAAACCAGGCTTCAGAGAGGCCCCAGGACACACAGCTCTGAGAGAACCGGTCTAAGGGTCTGAACCCAGCTCCAGCAGACGCCAGGCCCCAAGTCCTCCCCCACTCCACACTGGTCCTGCCGCCAAGTGTCCAGGCAGAGCGGCTACCCCTCTTGCAGCCAGCTCAGACAACGCCCCCCTCCTGTCATCAGGCCTCTTCACGGCAGGAGGCCTGCTCTGAGCACTTGCGGAGACCCTGGTCTCATGTGTGAAGACCACATCAGTTAAGGGGAAAAGGCCCGGAAGGTGACTCATGTCTGTCTTTGTTGTGGAGCATGGGGTGAGACCAGCTCAGATATTTCAGTAAATCCTTGCTTGGGGTGTTGCGGGTACAGGACGCAGTCCCCATAGTTAGTCACAAGCCTCTACCCAGGCCTCGGGGCCCACGTGAAGAACCCTGGCAGGTCCCACTGTCTTCCCGCTGGTGGGTCTGTGACCGGCACATGGCCAGTCAAGCCCGGCCCAGAGCTCCTGCGTGAAAGTTACTGCTTCCCGGGTCTTCTTCGGGAACTCTGCTTTCTCCAGGGTCATGGACATGTCCTCCTGTTTTCTAGGAGCTTTATCGTTTTTAACTTTTACATTTAGGTCTATGATTCATCTCAAATGAACTGGGTTAAGGTTCCATTGTTTCAGATCAATTGGGGGAGGGGAAGGGGAGGATTTTTTTCCATTGAATTGCTTTGGCACTTTGGTCAGAAATCAACTGACCGTGTACATGTGGGTCTATCTCTAAGCTCCTTATTGTAACAACTGCTACGTCCGTGATAATAAAGCAATACAGTTTTTCACATGGCACCGTATGTGAACAGTTAATTTCCAAAGGAAGATAGGATGACCAATAAACACTTGAAAAAGTGCTCAGTATCATAAGTCATGAGGGAATTCAATATTAAAACTACAAGATAATGGCATCAAAATGACTACAATTAAAAAGACAAGATCTCACATGTGGAATCTAAAAAAAAAACCACACACACACAAAACAGATAAACACAAAAAACCAAACTCATAGAAAGAGAGAACAGATTGGTGGTGGGTGGAAGTGGTCAAAAGATGCAAACTTCTAGTTTTAAATAAGTCCTAAGTGTAATGGTAATTATAATTCATGGTACTGTATTGTATATTTGGTAATTGCTAAGAGAATACAAGTTCACGTCACAAGGAAACAAAAGTGTGACTACGCACTAGTAGGCTGATGGCTGTTAACTATTAGGTCTAGTAATAATTAATGTCGTTTTCTAATACTTTTTTTAAATCAAATTTATTTAAACAATACAACAAAATTTAATCAACAATATAGTTGCCGTTGTTTTCTACTACTTGTGCCCAACGCTCAGGAAGCATTTTAATCCCTCTGTTGTAAAATTCTTGTGATTTTGATGCAAAAAATTCGGTCAATGCATTTTTGAGGCATTCTTCATTATTAAATTTTTTTCCAAGAAGAAAGTTTTGCAAAGAATGAAACAAATGGTAATCGGAAGGGGCAATATCAGGAGAATATGCAGGTTGAGGGAGAACTTCCCATTCCAACTGGCGCAGTTTTTCAGCAGTGATTCTTACAGTATGCGGTCGTGCGTTATCGTGGTGAAGAATTACGTCCTTCCGATTAATCAGCCCGGGTTCTTTTTCTCTTAAAGCTTGGGCTAACCTTTCCAATTGGGCACTATACACTGCACTTGTAATGGTATGGTTAGATGGTAAAAGTTCATAATGAAGAATTCCTTTAAAATTCCACCAAACACACAACATCACTTTTTTCGCATGCAAGTCAGGTTTTGGCGTGGGCTGCGGAGCCTCATTTTTGTCCAACCATTGAGGCCGCCTTTTCAAATTAACATACAGCACCCCTTCTTCATCTCCGGTAACAATTTGCTCTAAAAACTGCAAACGGTTTTGACAAGAGAGGAGCGAACTGCAAATTGTGACTCTTTGATTAAGGTTGTTGTCGGTCAACTCATGAGGAACCCATTTTCCAAACTTTTGGACTTTGTCAAGTGCACGCAATTGATTGGAAATTGTTTTTTGTGAACAATTTAAAGTTGTCGCAAGCTCTTGTTGGGTAATTTGAGAATTTTGCACCAAAAGAGCTTGAAGAGCTTCTTGATCAAAATTGGACACACGGCCTCGACCACTCTTGTCATCTAACGAAAAATTTCCCTCGCGAAATTTCTCAAACCAACGCTGGCATTTTCTGGCGCTAACTGCATCTTGACCAAGAGCACTACAGATGTTTTTGCAGCCTCACTTGCTTTTCTTCCTAATTGGAACTCGTAAAGCATGCAGTGCCGAATATGCTCTTCATCCGCCATCTTCTTAGCCCTAGTTTTGCAACAAAAACCAAACCAAACACAAACTTTTTCAAGCAAAACTTGTTAATTGCACTTCACACGTTCTGTAGATACCAAGTGTTTGAAGGTTATGTCAATACAAGTCAACGCCAAGCAAGATTTTAAACGAATGTTTTAAAACGACATTAATTATTACTAGACCCAATACACTTACGGTGGTGAACATTTCACAGTATATGTGAATATCAGACATGCAGTTGCACACCTGAAACTAATATCATATGTTGATTATATCTTAATTTTTTAAAATAAATAATAACATCTATCAAGCAAGATGGTGAGATGTTAAAAATCACACTGATTACTTGGCACCTAAAGGGCGGGATGTGGGGGAAACCACACCCAACGATGATGAAGGTGTGAAACAACTGTACTTCACACATGGTTGGCAGGAGCATAAAACTGCCCGATCGCTGAAACCTAAGTTGCCCCTTTTTCGAGGAAGTAAGCGAAAAAGTATGACCCAGCAGCTCCGCCTCTACACCTTGATTCGCGCTAGATGAAAACAGATGGACATACAAAGACTGTACAAGGATGTTCACAGACAGATGGCCCCGCGATTACGCTCCTAGGAACACACTAGAAAAATGACAAACGTGGCTTCAAGTAGACATTTGTACATCAGTGTTCGTTATTCACAAGAGCCGAACGCGTAAACAGCCCAGGTGTCCATCGGCAGACGACTGGATTAGCAAAACGTGGTGCCCATCCACAATGCAATGCTATCGGTCCGTCAAAAGGGACCGAGTTCTGATGCATGTACAACGTGGGTGAACTTGAAAACATCATGCTAGGTGAAATGAACAATATAGGAGACCGCCCACACCAGTTGTCTAGGATAGACAAATTCATAGGGACAGAAAGCAGAGTGGAAGCTACTAGGGAGGAGAAATGAAAGGGTTTCTGTTTGAGATGATGACAGTTTTTCTGGAAACAGATATTGGTAGTGGTGGCACAACATTTTAAATGTAATGAATACCACCAAATTATACATTTAAAGTTGCTTAAAATGGCAAATTTTTATTATATATAGTACTACAATTTAAAAAAATCAAAAAGAAAAAGAATATTACTAAAATGTTTCATAAGAACCAAAAATTATAAATAACCCAAATGCCCATCAACAGGTAAAAGAATAAACCAATTAAGGTATATAATAAATGCTCCTTGGCAATAAGATGGAATGATTGCTGATACATGTAACAAAATAATGAATCTCAAACACTGAGCAAAAGGAAGTCAGGCACAAAAGACTAGATTCTATATGATTTCACTTATATGAAGTTCTAGAACAGACAAATTCATCTATGATGGGGGGGAAAGCAGAAAAAATGGTAAGATATGAGAGGAGAATGTGGGAAGGGCACCAAGGGGCCTTCTGAGGTGATGAAATGTTCTATATATTGATTGGGGTGTGAATTGCATCTAAAAACTCATTGCATTGCCCTAGGCTGTTTGGCTCAGAGTATGCATTGGCCTGAGGACTGAAGGGTTCCAGGTTCGGTTCCAGTCAAGGGCACATGCCCATGTTGCAG